AGCAGACAAATTATTCCAATAACCAAATTGCGCATTTTTATGTGGTCAGTTGAACCGCCTCCGGAAGGTGGGTGTAGGAGAGGTAGATGAGGCGGTGCGGTTGAGTTTGTATTTGAGATGGGAGCTGTCGACGTCAACAAATTGGCATTTTCTGTTGAGATGGTTGAAGGCGACTGAGTGGTGGATGCAGTCGTCGTCGTGGAAGTGGGTTCTGTAGGTCGAAGTGTGGTGTCCAAATCGCCGTAGCCGGGAATGGCCCAACAATTTTCCCGCTTCTTAAGCTCCACCAAAGGATTAGTCAAATCTGATTCTGTTTCACAAGAATAAAAATCCAACACCTGTTGTTGATGGATGAGTGAGGCTGCAGAATCGCGTTTAGCCAATTTATCCGCATGGGTCACCACGTAACCGGGCGTTTCTGGACAGCGCTTTGGATTGCAGCACAACCGTTCTTCACGTGGCCATCGGTAGCAAGTGTAGTGACCTCGACATTGTAGAAATTTTACTTGCCATCTCAACCACGGTAACCAAAGTCGTCCAAAAGCTGGAAAGTCATTCTCCGTCTCACAGTAAAAGGTTAGTCGGACATACGTCTCCGAAAATGCGGCTACTTTGTCGGCATCTTGTAAAAAACTTGTCTCATCTAAGTAGTCCGGATTCCAGAGAATAAGACCGCTTATATTTGCAACCATAAAAACGCTGGCCAAGTCCTCGTACGTCAGGCGTTTGATCTTCACCATGATTAGAGAGAGTTTGATCGGTGTTGTGAATTTGGGTCGCACGTGTCGACGAACAGCCTCGACCAGACGTGTCAAGGCGCCGGGCACCATAGTGTCGACAGCAATCCGAAGGTTGGGATTCGTGGTCCGTGGCTTGAGGACAATTCGCAGTGGAACTGCATGATTGGCAGCCTTGAGAACAGATCTGGCGCCGTTGTTGAAAAATTTAGCTGTGATAGGAATTAAGGAAGTGCTGGGTGGTTGCCAGTAATTGCAGTCAAGTAGATGCACCACTGAAGAGCCACGAGGTGGTTCAGTAGTACAATCAAAGATAGTGGAACCATTGAAGAGGGTCATAGTAAAGCAAGTGATGTCAGGACATTCTGGATTGTTTGAAGAGCGTCCTGTAAAATCTAGTAGAGGTGAAGTTTGTGATGAAAGCAACGAAGGTAGTGATGATGCGGTTGTTGTTGTCGTT